GCTCCGTCACACTAAAATGCATGGTGGACGGAGAAGGCGAAGCAGATGGAATGCTACGCCGAACACCGCTAACCTAAGTAGTTCTTTGACTCCTTTTAGGCGGTGTATGGACCGATGTTGGAGCCGCTGTGGACGCTGGTCGATGGTAGTTCAGGCGCTACCCGCCTAAAGACTGCAGACATAATTCAGATCTGGCGGAAACACTTGGACTGTCTCTTGAACAACCGTTCAGAGATCGACTGACCTACATTGAACTGCCCTAAGCAGTAGGATGTGAAGGCGAGTCTGGCAGACACGCGGACACTGGATGAGGCGAAGAGAGCACTTGCTCAGCTGCGAAACGGCAAGTGTGCCGGTGCCGACGGGATCCCGCCTGAAGTATTGAAACACGGCGGACCCGCGTTGGTGACTGCGCTACACCACTTGGTGCAACGCGTGTGGATTGAGGAGGAGGTACCTCCTGAACTGAAGGATGCCCTTGTGCTACCACTGTACAAGGACAAAGAGAGCAAGCAACGTTGCACGGATTATCGTAGCATCGACTTGCTGAGTTGTGTGGGTAAGGTGATTGCGCGAACCCTGCTCAAACGCCTCGTCAGTCAGGTTGTAGAACCGAACGTGGCGGAAGAGCAGTGTGGATTCCGTTCGGGTCGCAGCACTATAGCTATGGTGTTTGCGACTCGTCAGTTGCAGGCGAAGTGCAAAGAACGACACCAGCCTTTGTACTCGCATTTTGTTGATTTCACCAGGGCATTTGATACGGTGAACTGTGAGGCATTGTGGCTGGTGTTGGCTAAGCTTGGTTACCCACGTAAGTTTGTAAGTTTATTTGAATGTCTACACAGTGGTATGCGAGCGAGGGTGCAGCTGGGTGGAGAGACCTCGGATGACTTTGCAGTTGTCTCTGGTGTGAAGCAAGGCTGTGTGTTAGCTCCTGCCCTGTTTAATATATATCTTCATGCCATGCTGTCTCGTGCTTTTGATGCGGCTTGTGCTTACGGTGTTGGTGTGGAGCACCGTATTGATGGAGAGTTGCTGAACATCCGTCGTTTCGGTGCGAGAACTCTAGTCTGTGAGACAACTATCCGTATGTTGCTGTTTGCTGACGGCTGGGAGTTGTTTGCACACAGCGCGGATGAGATGCAGCACATGACTAGTGCTCTGGCTTCGATGGCGGCCAAATTTGGGCTCACCATCAACGAAATCAAAACTGTCTGTCTCAGCCTTCACTGGAGGTGCCATCTGCTATGTTGCCGCGAATGTGCATTGGTTCTGAAGTATTGGAAACCACCTCTCGCTTCTGATACCTTGGGAATGTGATGTCGACTGACCGGCAACTGCACAGCGGGCTTTGTATCCGCGTATCGAATACAGCGGCAACGTTCGAGTAGCTAGAGTGCCGAGTTTGGAACAACCACCAGCTTGGCACGAAGCTGATGGTGTACAAATCCATGGTGCTGTCCGTTCTTCTATACGGCAGTGAAATGTTGACGATGTACCGGCGGGACGGGCGATATCTCAAGCGGTTCCATCAACAGTGTTTGCGACGGATTCTGCGCATCGGTTGGTGCGACAGAGTTGCAGATACGGAAGTGTTGCGCCGAAGTCGAATGTATTCGCTGGACTGCATACTTTTGCTGAGACACGTGAGGTGGTTCAGTCATGTGAGCCGTATGGATTCGACGCGGATACCGAATCAACTATTGTACGGTCAACTGAGTGTTAGGAAGCGGCATATGGGGAAACCGAAGTTTCGTTACCAAGACAGGATCAAAGTGAGCCTCTCACGTTTTAATCTTGTTTGCAGTTCATGGGAATCGAAGGCGGTTGATGGGCGTGCATGGGGCTATCTGATCACGAAGGTTGTTGCCGAGGTGGAGAAGAAAGCCCTCATGCATGCGGAAAAGAAGCGGCAAGTGCGGAAGCGGCAGGCGCCGATGGCTTTTAATCTATCGACATCGAGTGCATGGTGCTGTAGCACATGCGGTCGCGAGTGCCTGAGTCAGGCAGGCCTAGTGAGCCCTGAGCGAGACCACTCGGGACCACTACCGAAGCGACGACGGGTCCTGCAGAGAACGTAGGCAGAACCGGCGCAGCGTTTATAGGTACGCTGTATTCAATTTACTAACCGCGTGCTTGCATTGTGATTGTCTCTATTTCAGGCGGTAGGTTTTCTATATTGTCCTAATGCTTTTTATCCCAGAATTGTCAACCTGAACTATAAACTTGCACTTATCGCCTAGGCTAATTGTGGTTAACTGTGACAACATTTTCTGACGTCTTGAATCTATCGCGGATTCGTTGACAAGCGATTTATTTTATGCGCTCATTTGTTGAAGAGTCATGTCAACATACCTGTATGCATTATCCGACTTTTTTAATTGATATCATAATCTCAAGTGATTGGCTGTTGGTTGATATCCCCGGTGTGGCTGCGCTTGATGTGCATGTTGACAAGGTGCCTAACTGTCTATTACCCACTACTTCCTCCATACTGGCTCCAGGAGACATTTGGTCGTGGCTGGAGGGGACGGGGTGCACGGTCCTTGTGGCCGTGCTAGGCTCGAAGTGTGGTTCCATGCACTCAATGCGGAGCGGACTACAGTCCAGCCACCGCCTTGTGTGCGGTTGATTCCCAAATACAGTGTGCTTGTGTTTACCTGTGAAGGAGTGTGGGCCGGCTCCGTTGATGAAACGTGGCTCCCATCCACATGCCTGCCGGTCTTATTCCTTCGGGTTTACACTGGATATGGGGTGTGTGATTGGAGCTGTGGGTGCTGCAGCGCAAGCCACCTATGGTCCATCTGCGGGCGCAGAGGTCGTGTGAGCACAGAAAATTGCGAATCTTCGATCCTGGATGTTTTGAATGCACTTCCAAGTACATTGTCATCCGGTCTGAGAAAGCGTTCACTGAACATTGCCAACATTTGCTGATTCTGTGTACACCGGACGTTATTGCAGCAGATATGTCTTCGTGGGGCGACTGCCAGCCTAGATACTGAACCTCTACGCAGTTTCAGTGACTTGTGTGTGCTCACCGGCATGTTGCGGCTTAGAACGAACACGAGTCTCGCAACTTCTCAGGGCGAAGGTGCGTGCTTGCCTGGAGGGAGATCTCCAGACTTGGTGGTCTGTTTGTGTGTCGTAGATGATAGCGTCCGCTGTACTTGCTCATCATTGTACGTCATTCTGTTTGATTTTGGTGGTAAGCATGCGACCTAGTGTTTTCGAAGCTGTACGCTACGAGAGGTGACAGTCCGTTCACAACTTGTCAATGTGCTTTAGGCGTTGGGCTGTGCACTTCGAAAATCAAGTTTATTGGCCAACATCATCGTTAGCCGTTGATCAACCTGCTACCTGGATCTTCCTTTGTATATGCTGTTTCGCCCAGAATTCAGCCGTGAGTTCCCGATGGTTGAAGTTGTATAAAGCCGCAGACCCAGATGGGCTACCTCCAGCTCTCTCCATATTTGGGAGACCTGTTCTTATGGATCATTTTCGAGAGTTACTCCTAAAACTGCAGAAGCAAGAGCCTTCCGACAAACTGAAGCTGCTTCGCTATAGTCCTAATATTCCAAGTAAGCCCATGTTCGGTATGCTACCATTGTAAAGTGATCAGCCTGATCTCTCTTGCCTCCGATTTTCTTGTATCTGCCTTTCCTCATAGACTGTCCGGCACCCATGTAAACCAAATTCATGCTTTATCGAACTCGGGACTGCACTGATCACATTCTCCTTTTACACCGGTCATTGGAACATCAGTGCTTTTATTGGCGGCCCACCGTAGCCGTCTTCCTTGACATCAAAGATGCCTTCGATTCGGTTCTCGAGGTGACCAGGAAGTGCATAAGTATTATAGCAGCGTATTACACATATAGTTGGGTCTGAATGAAGCCGTATGCCGAGCTATCGCCGCCACTCAATGTGTTCATCGCTGGGTACACCGCGTGTAAACTGAGCGTGTTTCACATCTTGTATTTGGCGCAGGAAGGGCTAGTAAACTGTTCATCACCGTTATTTTACACGCCATGGTCCAATGCCTAGGCCTTGTGTTGCGCATGCCAACAAACTGATGTGGGTTGTTTACCCGATCAGGGTTTGGATGGAATAAGAGGCGAGCAATTGATGACCCGGTCAAGAAGAATGAAAACTTTGACCTCGATCATGTCCATTGTGTAAACCTCCCGATTCCCGAGTTTGATTTTGAAAGACGGTGAGCACGTTTGTCCGCGAACGCATGGTAATATAATTAAGAACTAACCTCAGTGACTTTTGTTTTACGATTTTCTTTGTCTTTCCTATCCCTGGTTAGCCACATCCCACCAAAATCTCACCACTAATGCACATTAAGAAATAATGATGTTGATTTTTTGTGTTTCTGTCTCTTCCCGACCATTGTATTTCCTTTTGTTTCAGCATAGTAGTTGGGGCATTCTCACCTTCAACCAACGATCCCAATCAACTGCGGGTCATTTTCCTACCCGTTTTTCATTCACTATAAATATTGCCCGGATCTATGTACTCTGCTCCCTTATCACTGCGGTTTTATGCAACTTATCAACTGCTCCTTTTTTATCTTGACGGTTCAAGAAAACTGGCTCCAACTATGCCACCAAATCGCTATATAAGTATCTTACCCGTTGTTTTTGCGGTGTACCACATGCGTGTCTTACTTACTGCTTACGTCGCAAAATGTATAGCGCTGTATAATATCCCCACAGACTGACTACAAAGTCAACCTAAGCCACTACTGAGATTGCGTGTCGCAATCCACGGCACATGGCGAGTACTCCAATGCCCGACATTCACCTCTTTCACTTTTCCCTTTCACCCAAATCTGCTCGCAGTCGCTCCTCTGTTATCGCTCCTGATGTCGATCGAGTACTTTGTGGTCCCCTTTTTATTTGTTCCCTTTTACACATGCTTAATATGAATTGTTAGTTTACAGCCTTTAATACTGTTTTCTTCATTCGAATAACCTCGAATCTTGTTTTCACACAGCTTGCTCAACCATGCTTGACGCCAGCTTCTCATCTTATTTGCTCTCACGTTCGTTTCGCACTGTCTCCATCTAACTGGCGAAAAAGTGAAGCTCAATGGGTAGAAAGAGACGAACTTCTGTCGATGCTTTGGTGGACGCACCCCAGATTAATTACGGCACTCAGCCTGTAGAGCTCATGTATCCAACACTTCATAAGGGTGAGTCTTCTTTGTCGGTGATTCCATCTTGTTCCAGTTGCAACTTCCAACGAAATGCGCCTTTTCGATTTGGCTTCAATACAACTGGAGCTGGAGCGCGTTTTAACCAACACCATGGAGCGGTTACAGTGCTTATCTGCAGAGGCAAAGGGTAAAAGAATCCCAACCACCATACTTCATTCTTTGCAACTGCGGTCCGCAACAGCAAACACTCCCGTCAACAGTGGTCGTCCATCTTTGGTTGTCAAGGCTAATCCAAACAAACCGTTGACTTTAATTATATCACAACAAAATCATCCTGTTCAGTCGCATCCTCCAGTTCCACCAGTAGCGGAACCCCCTGGATCCACTCGGACGAAATGTTTCCCAAGTCCTGTTTGCTTACGAAAAGTTAACAGAGTAAGTTCACTATCTTAGTTGTAGTGGCATGCCCCCCACTGAAGGAGCCATTAATCCCACAACCTTCTGCCACCTTTTGCTACTTTCCTTACCTTAACTGCCTGATTAATACTTACGCTCATTCTGGTGGTCTGTGACCCTCACTATGAGTGTTGGGTGTGAATCTTTTGCGGTGCCACCGTTTCAAATTTTATCACCCATGACTCACCACGCCTCATTGTGCTTCTGTGTGTGTTCTCCATTTTGCCACTGTTGCATAATTGAACGGCCTGTTGGGCAGAGTGCAGACTGGGAGGGAATTTTGACAAACTAATTTTCCAACAAGTGACGGGACATGTAGTTTCGATTAGAATGCGTTACGTGTCAATTGCAGTAATAAGAGCGGCACCTGTAACTTATATCAGCCTTATGATAATTAGAATTTTTCACTCAGCATTTGTGAGTTTCTTTGTCCCCCCCTCCAATCCCGCTTATCGTCACCTCCCAACCACGACCTCAGTCCTGATGCTTAACCTGTTACTAAGCACTATATTACCTGTTGGTTTTTGTATTCCATACTGTTTTGTGTCTTGTCTTTTCATATATTTTTTTGTATTGCAGCACAGTAGTTGAAGTGCGTTTCTCTCCTTCAACTAATGTGTCCTGATCCTTATTTCTTGGAATATTATAAATGCTGCATATCATAAGCTTTATCGATACGATACCCGCTGGTATCTTTCCAGAACGATGCTCATCCGTTACTGGCAGCTCGGCTGGCTTGCACATGTTTTTTTCTCTTATGGATTGCGGCACAAAAGCTGAGGTGTTTTCCACCTCTAGCTAACGTGTATAATGAATGTGTCATGGTGATGATCAGCCAGCATTTCGCTCAGGCCGTCCCAGCTCAAGGTCGAACTAATGCAATCAATAATAATGACTGTACTAGTGCGTCTGTTAGTCTAACAGATACCTCTCGGATTTTTACATGAGCATTTTTAATCGTGAAACCTGTGATTGAAGCATAGAAAATATGCCATTATGCGGCTCTGTTCGAACGAGCCAAGTAACCATTTCCAACTTTTGTCTAGTTGCAGAGTAGGTGAAAGAAAATGGATGTTGACCGAACTGTACTGGACTGGATAAAGTGACAAACTGTCAACAAGATAGCCACAAGATAGCCTCACAAGCAAACGACGGCACGGGATGCGTTGCGTGATTCTGGACTGAGTCTCGAGTCCGGAGAACAAAACTGGTTTTTAACAAGAATACCACTACTAAGTAAAATTAAAGTCAGATACTTGCTTTTGTATTCCGCACAGTTAATTCAGCCACGTAAGGTATGAGTTTAGTTGGACAGAGGCCTTGGCGTCTGCTGCATGAGTGTCCCGCGGTCTTACGTAATGTTCACGTGACGGTAGCGTTCTTAGGTCAGCCCTTCTTTTCAGTCATACCGATTATCATATACACTTACACGATGCTTTTGATGTCGCTTAGCTCTTATCTTTATTGTTGTTGTCCTACCAATCCTTTTGTACTGTCCCTTGATATCCCATCCCTCCATAAACTTTTTGGTTTATGGCCTATCTTCACTTAACTTCTCAGGTAAAGGATTAGTCATATATATGTTTAGTCTACCGGCAGTTCTGAGGTACCGATTCAAACAGCGTTTTTCTGGTCGTCTTTGTTACGGAAATTGTCTTTCGCTCGACCAGTCGCATTCATTTGCAGCCCACCCTTAGCTTGTGTTGCATGCCGGAATAGTTCTTTTAACACCATTCCTCTGACACTATTCGCGTGCTACATGAACTTCCACTGGCCGCTTGTCTAGTTCACGGCATTCATATTTCATTTGATCGTATTCCTTATACAGTCTTCGTGAAGTGCATTCCACTACAGCATGCGTTCGTGTAGTCCTCTGGGTTGAAGTCTACTTCTGTTTTATTTGCTGCAGGCGCTACTCTTTTCTATTTACTGTTCACATTTTAGCTTGTCTCCCCGTTTCTAAACGATTTTCGATGAATCGCTCCATATGCTCTGCCGTTTTGCGTATCCATACAGTTTGGTAAAAGCACATGACGAAAGTATGTAGTAGTTTTTAGAGTGCTGCTCACCCATGAAGAGGTTGGGGCTGATTACTGCTCATCGCGAGCTATGTGGCGCTGTAATTTGGTCTGTGATGCTTTTTAGATCAGTGGCGCTATTGCTACTCCTTTATGGCGTTTGATGAATGCGCATGTACGCTATAGATATTGGTTGTCTCCGATCGTCACTACCAATCACAGAAAATCCCGTCAAGGTTTGCATAATTAGTCAGTCTGTGTTTAGCAGCGGACTTATCTTCGGTTCTCAACATCAGCCGCAAACCCTCCCACTGTGGATCACCAATGTCGGCGGGTCTCGAGCAGGGAAGACGCGTCCGTTTGGGCGATGTCTCTAATTGTGTCAAGAATGTGAAGAAACTGGTTGACAACTTGTCATGGTCCCCAAGGAGAAGCGGGTACTGGTGGTCCTCTTAACGCGGCGTTCAGGCCTATAGAAGAGTCAGCACAGAGCCTAATCTTTTCGCTTGGGTTCTTGACAATCACGATTGGGGCTGCTCATGACGATAAGTGACTGGCTTGATAACTCCGGCTGATTGTAGCCTCTCAAGGTTTTGGTCAACGCCTGAAACGACCGCATATGGCACTGGTCCCTTTGGTCGGAAGACTGACTTCTCGTTTGCTCGCAGGGATAAACCAGCGTTGGTTTTTGTGCACAATCCCAGATCGTCCTTGAAAACTTCTGTAGAGTCTCCATCCAATGCTCAGCGTCACTGCTTACCTTGTTACACACGAAGTACAAAAGGATATCAAGCGGCTTCATACTGTCAATCCAGTTAAGGCCAAGTAAGTCCAACTTGGGGGGGGGGTTTTGTTACCTAGCAAATCCTTTCTAATTGATAGCTTTTGAAAACAACGAGACAAGAAGTTGCATCATCGAGGTTCAGCACTCCTCCTGAAGCCTTGATTGCAACGCGCGTTATTTCCTGCATAGATGGTCCACCAATCTCCTTCCAAGTTGTTTCGGATATGACCGTGATATCAGAGGCAGTGTCAACTTGTATGCGCACAGGCAGTTGATTCACAAATACGGTAACGAACCTCCCGCGTTTTTCGGCCGCCTCATCGAAAGTAGCAAAAACAGAATAAAGCAGAACAAAACAGGATCTTTGTTTTAGTGATGAGTTTGGTGCAAACGTTCCAGAATAGTTGGTGGAAACGTCACGCTTGAAGGCAAAACGACGGGATTGATCCTCCTTGTGGCCACGTCTGTTGTATTTCTGACATGTTTTTTTGAATGAACAGAGTCTGACGAAGTACCACTTCCCACCTAACCAACATGTGGATGGTGGCCTACTTTGCTTCATACGCTTCGAAATGAGCGTTGAACTTGCGCGCTGGTTTGAGACCGCCAACACATCTACGGGGCATGCATTGTGGCTTTGCGTAAATAGGTTTGTGTTATGGAGGGTTTCGGTGTGGCTCTCTCCCATCCCTGCACTCCACGACCGACGGTTTCGTCTTTGTTTATACTCAGCAGGTAGAGATAGCCGAGTTGGGCGTGGAGCTCTGCGCATGGTACTTGGCGGCTATCGCCATGATCACTAGGACATTGAGCTCCGCGAGCAGTGTTTGACACAGCGGTTAGAAGTAGATTTTCGGGTTTTTTGTGCACCCGCCGGTTTGTCTCATTTCAAATTGATTAGCCTCTCTCCTTCCGCACTGCTGAACATAAGATCGATAGTCGGATCCTGCTCAATCTTCTCAAGCACCCATGAGTATTTGGGAATTCTCGGACGTTTGAAGATCACAAACAAAAAGTTCAGCGCCTTAAACTGATCATCCGTTATCTCCTTCAACTTGAATCGCTCACAATGACGGTTAACGTTACTAGCGTAAGAACGTCATTTAGCAGTTGTACAAATTGATCGAATAAAATTGAGCAACTTTTCATGTTCTCTGGTCCCCAGCTTCCGCAAGAGCAGTCTGCACTTCCATCCGTCATCAGCATCAACGAACCCCGAGCAGAAAACATCTTCGTATCTTCTGAATCAACATTCGAGGGTCAAACCTGCATCCGGGTCGTACTGAAATTCACAATGCTCTTTGAGATGGCATCCACGGAAGCCTGCTACTTTTATGTGCTTGATCTTGTTCGCATTGCTAGACGCTTGAAAAAGCTCTCGATCAACCGTGACTGACCCTCTTTACATTGCTTCTGTTGGTGCTGCAATATGGTGGTCAGTAATTCCACTGAAAATAGCATTCTTTGCTTATCCACTCAACAACGCTTCGTCGCCAGTTGTTATTGTTTCCAAGATCGCTCTGATTGGCTGATAAGAAGATGGCCTTCAAGCACCGGTTTATTCACCAGGAAAGACAGGACGATTACATGACGCATGCTAGTGATATATGGTGTGGTTGACCTTCCTTATCATTCTTTTTCCACTTCCATTCTTTTCTTTCCAATAGTAGGAACGGTTTTTTCTAGAACACTAACAATCCGCCAGTGAGATTTTCTTCTGAATTCCTTGGTTAGTGATGGATTTCAGGGATGTGTCACCCTGTCCGATTCCTTAACAAGTCCTCCTCCTAGCACAGTTGAGTTGCTTTTATGAGATTCTTCTTACCTTTGCCGTGCGGTGTCTTGCATCACAATGACTACTATTAGGATAGCCAGCATCCCTAAGAACGATGTAATTTCAAGGTTTTGCCGGAGAATCCATTGCAGTTTTTTAACTTTTCGCCTTTTCTCTCGCATTGTTTTGCTTCGAATAAGTTGTCGTCTCACCTTGTTCCTTTAAAATCGGCTTATTTTTTTCCATTTGCGGTCGTGCCTTGAACCTTCAAATGTTGCTGTACAGTTATGTACCGACCAATTTTACTTGTCACCTACTCTGTTTTGTGCACCAGTAAACTTTTTGACAGTGTTCTTTTTCTGGGCTTGTAGCTGTAAGGTGTTTATCGCTCAAGAGAGGATTAGTCTACAAACCGAGATGATCATGAATGTTCAATAGCGGACTGTCGTCAACGAGTGAATACTGCGGCAACTTCGATTCCCTATCAATTACTAACGCATGAATTGACGCAATCATTGGACTATTACTGTCCTGCCATGTTTCCCATTGTTGATATTTTATTTCTGCGGTATGTGTTAATGGCTCGTTATGTAGGCCGTTGGTCGAAAGCATAGAGCATCTGCCGTGTAATCCAAAGAGCACCGGTTTAAATCTGTGTGTAGATGAGTGCGGCCGCGTAGTGTCCACAGCCTACGCGCGACTGATGGTAGTCGCATCGTAGCGGCAGTACTGTGTGTGTCGGTGTACTGCTAACCTTTTTAACATATTTTCCATTGTCCCCCGGTGCCGAATGGTCGTTACGCCTGGCTTGCAATCATAGGGTCACTGGTTCGAATCCGCGTTGGGTTAGGCGTCCTCGCGGTATACTCAGCCCGCGCACGACTGCCGGTGGTCGAACTGCAGCGAAGCACCGTTACGGCGTACGGCTGACACATTGTTATCGTTATTATATTCTTCCATTACCATTATTCTCCTTTCTTTTATTTTTCGTCACTTTTCACTGTTTTCACCGTTTCTTTTTGATGCTTTCTGTTTTTCTTGTAGTACAGTCAGAGGGAGCAGGTAGAACAAAGTTCCCCCGCCTCCCCGGACAAGAACCAGAACCCTTCCGGGTAAGTATGTAAAGCTTTCATTTCTGTGTGACGTTTCGTTTTTAACGTGTGCTTTGAATCATCATTTTCATCAACAGTTCGGAGCTCGATCTGCTTTGAAGCAAAAGTAGGACAATGTCCGTGCACTGGAATGAAGTGGCATCGCGTCTCATTAGCGAAAACACGCTTAACTCATAAGGGTAGGTGGACACAGAAACAGCTACCAACTGCAACAGTAATCTTGTGGTATTGACAACATTTTGCCTATCTCGGTGACTGCTTGATCTAAGGGCTTGAATCGAAAGAGTGTTACTGATCATCACACTCCCGTACCCGAAATACAGCAATGCGTTGCAGCCGCTGTGATTTGCGTTACCTGCGGATATTTGTGTACAAGTATCAGCTGCGAAACACGAGTTTCAGCGTTCGATTGTCATCCCCGTTCGTATATACTTGAAATCGGTTGTGGAATACATTGTTAGTAAAGAGTGATGCGTTCCCACTGCTCGTTGCCGAAATCGAGACCACGTGTCTCAGCCGATATATATATGTATATATATGTATATATATATATGTGTGCCCCATGCTGAGGCTGATGTTGCATTCTTGATGCTTCTTCACCGCAGTTGGGCTAAACCAACTTACACTTAAACTAGGTGTCTTTAAGCTGCATAAATTTCATTCCAGTTTATTTGGTTAGTTTTGCCTATCTGAATAGTCTTCTATTAGCTGGCCACTTCGCTTACGCTAATTGCGCTTATCTTCGGTAATTTTGTTGCGTTTGTAGCATTTTTGAGTAACTTGTGGACATTTTTTCCTTATCGCGGATTCATTGCTAACCAACTTACTTCATATGCTAACTTAGCGAAGAGTTATGCCACCGTATCTGTATGCATTATTGGATTTATGTTATTTCAGGTTGTCGTTTAACATGAATGGCTGTTGCTTGATATCCCCGGTGTGGCTGCGCTTGATGTGTATGTTGACAAGGTGCCTACCTGTCTGTTACCCACTACTTCGTCAATACTTGCTCCAGGAGACAGTTGGTCGTTGCTGGAGGGGACGGGGTGCACGGTCCTTGTGGCCATGTTAGGATCAAAGAGTGGTTCCATGCACTCAGTGTGGAGCGGACTACGGTCCAGCCACCGCCTTGTGTGCGCTTGATTCCCCAAATACAGCGTGCTTGTGTTTGCCTGTGAAGGAGTGTGGGCCGGCTCCGTTGATGAAACGTGGCTCCCATCCACATGCCTGCCGGTCTTATTCCTTCGGGTTTACACTGGATATGGGGTGTGTGATTGGAGCTGTGGGTGGTGCAGCGCAAGCCACCCATGGTCCCTCTGTAGGCGCAGGCGTCCTGTGTCTGGCCACAGTGACAGGAAAATCGGAAACCGGATGCTGCCAACCATATATATATATGTCTTGTTATGCTATACGGTCACTGGAATCTTAGCAAAGGAAGTCGTTCCTCTGGGGCCTATCCTGCCCTTTGCATGACAGTTACTTGCAACGGCTTAAGTCGCTGAGTTCTGCTGAGAAAGTCATTAGTTCGCATCTGGACGAATTCGGGGGCCGCATGCTGCTGACAAACCCAAAAAAGAGACGACCAATAGCGCTCTGATTACGATAACTCTGCTAAAAGTAACTAAATCTCCCTGGCACCCTTTGACAACCGCTATCCGTTGTGTCAGGCGTTGCCCTCGATGCCCGATAATGTCGTAGCTCAGTCGTTTATCATCAGTTTCCACCTTCCGGTTTGGAACTATTGCTGTTTGTCTCTACCAGAGGAGTTAAAAGAAGGACGAAATCCATTATTGCTTGTAATGTGACTATTATGCGCAGACCGGTCCGTAGTCTTTGGGATCACATGCCTGTCGTGCAATACGAGAGCAAGGACTCGAGTCTGCATGGGGACCGGGCGACGTTCGTAATATCCCTAGCTCACGTGCGACTGTTGGTTTTTGTGCGAAAGGGAAGCGTCGGTACTGCGTATCGTCGTACTGCTGATGCACTTTTTATTATGCACAGGAACTCAGCATTTCGTCATCACCATCATCATCAACAACAACAGTACACCAGCCATATCAACTGATGCTTCGCTGCCATATAACCATGGCGACCTACGGAACAATGAATAATAAGGGGGGGGGGAGAGAAGCGTGACATACCAGAAAACCTTAATGCCCTAAGCAAGCATTCATGGTCAAGATGCCTACACGTTGCCAAAAACATACCGTCACAAACAGCTGACTATCATTCAAAGATAAGGCGGCATCAACAAGATAGCTTCCTTGCGGCTCTCACTGTCCCGCGTCATAGTCAGCCATTACTCCCAGATAACTCATCACCATACACACTTTGAACAGGCAGTCCGATTAGGAGACGACAGCAGGCGCGCCACTGGTGTCCACTGTGAGCCATATCCTGTAAAGTCTCAAGGCAACCATCAGGCGAATCACGTGGACTCCAGCCTGGAAGGCGCGGCGGACCGACAGCACCCAGTTTAGTCGCCATTGACTTCATTTCCTGCTACCAAGTCAACTTTTGTCCACCTCAAGACTTGCTCCACCCTACATCTGGCAAACGAAACGAGACCCTTCTCAGCAAGCGGTGAACTCAGCAGTTACGAATAAACGGGTGCATGGCGGTTGAACTGTTCGTTGAGCTTGGCAATTTCTCAGCTGCCATATTACAAACGATATGTAGATGATATCCTTGTTTTCGCTTCCACAAAGATGCAAATCGAACAATTAGTTGACCAACCTAGTAATGTTCACGCCAACCTGAAGGTGACTTTTGAATTAGAATCAAATGGGCGTCTTCCGTATCTCGACATTCTTACAAGTCACAGGGATAATGGGCTGGTTAAACGATCTGTATACCGGAAGCCAACGTCGTCCGGCCAATACCTACCTTTCACTAGCTTCTCACCGATGGCATACAAGTGCGCGCTGGTAAAAACGTTATTCACTCGGGCCAGATGTTTCCGCTCCAACGACTGCCTGCCTGAGGAGTTTGAACTGATCATTAAAACGCTTACGGAGAATGGCTACTCAAAGCGATTCATAGACAAACAGCCAGATTAGATCGCCCAAAGAAATGGTGTTGTTAGCCCCAAAGAAAAAGGTGTACATCAAGCTACCATTCAAAGGTGACACCGCAGCTAGAAGGACAACCAAACGCATTGGCTCGACCATTCAGCGTACGTACTGTGCTGCGGAGGTGGTAATTATCAACAGAACCTGAAAGTTGCCGTTACCTTCAGTAAAGGAAGATGAACCCGTCGGCGCCAAATCACACTATGTTTACTAATTCGTTTGTGACTGCGGCATGTTACATCGGCAGAACCGAACGGGCTTTAGATTCCAGAGTGAAGCAGCACTTACCAAACTGGGTTCAGCGGGTTACTCAATCCACCTCCGACAATACGTGCTCGCGTAAACCGCCAGCGTCCCTCATAGGCAGGCACATTTTGGCGACTCGTCATCTGGTCAATCCCTTATCGGCGTTCCGGATCTTGTTTGCTTCATACTAATTCACGCCTTTTGCGATTTGCCGACGCCGTCGCTATAAGCTGAATTAGACCAGCCTTGTGTGTTCAAAAGCAATTAGTTGTCAACCTGCGGTTGCCATGATCCTAGTTCCAACAACCATGACCACAACCATAAATTTGATTGGCTTGACTGTGCCCTATTAGATATATAAAAGTATTTCCCTGTTATTGTATTGGTACTGACGAGGTAATACGAAATGCTAGCATCTGTCAATATTCGTCTTCTCATTTCGTTGTTCAAACTTGGCAATTTGTTGCAAACGTTTCGTCACCAATCTAGGTGATATAATCAGTGAATAGTTGGATAGCGTGCAGTAGCGTAGAGGAGCCTCGGTTAGAGTGCACTGAGCGTGATGTGCGCGCGTTTTTACACCGCATTGGTTGCCCGTGGAGACGAGCAATGCTATTTGTTGGAACTTTGCTCCTCGTTCAGCTTGGTTGATGGGCAGCTTACCTTTGACCTTGACCCTTTGTGTTTCGTGGCCTTTCTCTGTTTGTTCTTGTGAATGAGCCTGTCGTCAGTTCTGGTTGTCTACTCACACGTTCCGCCGGATTCAGTCGATCGCATTGGCGGTCGTTTGCCACTAGTGTTGCGTATACTGCTTCCAGTTCGATGTGTCGATTGATTGAATTCGTTGTAGAGTACCAGGCTTCCATTAACTCCCTCACGTGTTTTGCATTTCACGTGCTAGGGTCTTTACATTCTCCAGATCGAAATGGTGGCCTTAATCTTCATGCGCAGAAACCAGTAAGTGCGGATCGTGTCTTCCGACGGCCGCCTTGTGTTCGGTGATTCGCGTACAAAGCTTTCTTCCACTTTATCCAGCGTGTTTTTTTATCGCAGTCGCTGCATTTTATCTAGTAGATGACATTACATTGGTCGGCTTGATTAACTTTTTCTTTGGGTCTTGAGATCAGTTTCCTCAGGATGGCGCTTGGTTTGTGAGCCACAAAGATTTCATGTGACTGCAGCAATATTCCTGTCAGTTCGGAGACGTTCTTGATGTAGGGGAGCACTATCCGTTTGTTTGCTTGCTCATGTGACTGCTAGTGCTGTTACCTAGGTATTCGTTTCTTTAAGCTTCGTCTGCTGACATATCTCGCATAACCGTGACTTCCAAAAACGATATAGGCGAATTTAAATGCAGCTCTTCTTTTGGTTCATCGAATCACAGATACCTCGCTGCTCTTCTCTGTCAAGTAGTCCGGCTCTCTCTTGCAGCTGGCAGGCTGCCTCCTGGTTGAAAAGTGGACATAGTGAAGCCTATATACTACAGTGGCGGTCGACAAGTTCCAGTTATTTACCGACCGATTTGCTAAACTGCATTTGTTTGTAAGGTTTTGAGGCGATTCGTAAACGCTCACTTCAGCAGCACTTGGAAGACCTAAGTCTCATCTCGTGGGCACAGCATGGGTTTAGGGGACCCGATCCTAAATTTTAAACCTATTCGTCGCTAGATAAGTGGGCAAA